TTATTGAAAAGGGTTTTTACACAGAAAGCGTGAAGAATACAAAGCTTAGCTGTCCAGGGCAGAGCAATGACAGTCGAGTAAAAAAATAAATCAATCAAAGGATCTGGCCCTCTATTTCCAGGACCCTCACGGCTACGGGGGGCATGACAGCTGTTGTTTATCGTCTGCTGTTATGACAGTCATGGATGATGAAACCTGTCCTCCACTGAATAAATGTCATCCAGCCATTCATCCATCCATTACTGGCACCATCAGCAGCACTGACTTGTGTTACTGCCCCATCCGTCTTATATTATAAAACACAGTCAATTAGTCCAGTTGGTGTATAGGTGTCTACACTTCCATTCTGACAGGGTTCCCAGACTGTCAACTTGAAATAACTGCCGTCTCTTACATGTTTCCATTTTTCTCTATTGTTATTCAAATGTAATGGATTGTTGGATTAGTACGGATTAAATTAATTGCAGTCCTTCAGAAATGCAAATGAATGGTTTTGTTACTGCAGCTATTGATTCTATTAGACTTAGACAGGTTTACCTATTTAAATATTTTTTGTATTAATGCACAAAGTGGCCATAATTGCTTTTAAGGTTCTAATTGAACCTTCTGCCTTTGAACAAATTTTTTTCTGACCAAATGCAACATTTCTTATTGCAAAAATTGTGAAATTAGCAGCATCCTCTGCTAAGTTAGGATATTTGGAAAAGTCTCTTTTATGAATTATGAATAGATATGTTTATATTTAAAAAAGTCAAATCTAATGAATTATGTATCAAGATACGTTTACAAGTAGTGAAATCATTAAAAACAGTTTTATTTTGCTGTCTAGGTTTAAAAGATTGGATTTTATGTCTGCGGATATTTAATGAAATAATGGAGTCCTATATGGGTATTATGTTTTAAAAAATCCCTTAAAGGGGAAATGAATATACTATGCAGAGATGCATAGCATAGCATATGAAATCTTAGGGCTGCAACTAATGATTATTTTGTTAATCGATCAATCTGTTGAATAGTTTATTGATTGATTAATAATCAGATACAAAAGGTTCCCTAAAGAAGATTTGTTACAGAATTAAACCAAGTAAATCTCAAACTAACCCACTAAAGAGTTTTGGATAGTTTTTTTAGATTGAAAGAAAAAGTGTTTTTCAAAATGTTGGTTTTATTCTTGCACGATGTGTGTTTTTCTTCCTTAAAGGTACAGTGGAGGATGTTCTTTTTCCAGGTGTATCACATAAATAAGTGGTCCTCCTAATTGTCGATCATTCTGGTGATATGTTTATGTAGGGCCGTCCTACATGGTCGTCCTGTTACTTATCTTTTTCTGCGCAGGTGCACTCATGCGTATATGTTTGGTAAGCTATTGTTTCAGTCAGTCGTTGAAGCTCACCTTTCTCACTGCAGTTCTTTGTAAATTAATACATTTTCACTCAACGGTCGTGAGTCTCATCTTGTGGATAAATTGTAAATCTTCTTTTGGAAAGTAAGCTTGTTTGAGCGATGCTAACAGCAACTTTTAAACAGAGCGTGCACGAGGAGAAATGGGCTTGTGTACACTCTCATTTAAAAGGGGTTCCCTCCTGGGAGCGGGTACAGGGTTGTGTATGTGGATTTTTTTTTTAAAGTGTAAAGTGTGTCGGGTCTTTTCAAAAATTAGGAAAAATCCTCCGCTATACCTTTAAATTTTGTGTTGTATTTTACAGTTTCTATACTCCATTTAACGATTAAATTATTACTATATTAGTTGATGATTATTTCAGTAATTGTTTAATTACTGAATTAATTTGATTAATTGTTTCAGCCCTAATGAAACCTCAGTCTCCATCCCAGTGTTAGTATGTGAAATATCAAAATAATGTCTATTTTGCTTAACTCTTTGCATTACCTACATAAAGATTTCACTAATTCCAGCACTTGATAAAGGGTTTGATGCCTGGGTTGCAAATGTTCCTTGTAAAACCAGAAACATAAATTCCTTAATGAGTTTATTTAATTAAAAGATTCTTAGTCTACCTTCAAACTAATAGAAGCGATGCATTATTCAGGAGTCTCCTTTTTCAATAGTCTCCCCTGCTGCCCTCGGCAAGTCTGTGATTGTAGTGCTGACCTTTTAGTTGGTCTGAGTGCTCTGTCTCTTAAAGTTAACGCCGTCTCTCGTCTTCAATTAGGTGTCATGGTGTCAATGCAGTGGACTTCAGCCTCTGTGGAGCCCTGGCTTGACTCCAGCGTGCTGTAAGCAAATATACGGTTTAAGAAAATCAGGCAGCTGTTTGGTTGTTTTCTTAGTTTCTCAAGTTGTCCAGAACAAACAAGCAGCAGATTTGCTGCTCTAGCCTGTTCATTTCCCTCAGCAGGATGCCAGCTGTGACACAGAGGTGAAACTAGCTATCAGCTTAATTGGGTTGAGTTGCTAATTGATTTCTGTGGGATTAAAGTGCTCTAGAAGCCTGAGGGTTTGTCACCAGTTAGAGGAAATCTGTGGAGGAAGAAAAAATAAAAGAAATTCATTTTTAAAATGTTAATTCTTTATATATTGAATCATTTCATAAAGGCTCAGATTATTGTCTATTATTTAATAGTAGTGTTAAACTCTCATGGTAGCTTCCTCTCTTTTGTAGTACAAAACGTAACACCAATTAGTCTGTTTATTCTGATAAATAAAATAGATTTGATGGGTCAGTAAAACGATTATCAACACAAAATCGTATTCAGTAAATGTATAACTTGTACTCCAATGAGACTCATTGGTTAAATTAAAATACCTTTTGAATATAACAGAATGAGAATCAAGGTGTGTTTATTACCTTTTGTCAGGTGTTAAATATACTTTTAGATTATTTCCCGGTCATTTATGATCTCCAGATTACCAGTCATATGACCTCTGATTGAATTTAAGCAATTGGGAAGCGCTAATATACAATGGCTTGCAAACGTATTCAGTCCCCTGTTTTAAAAAGGGGGTTTAGGGAAATTTAGTCCATCATCTGTGATTTATTTTTTTCATATTCATTTTCCTGTAATTGCAGTGTGATCAGTGTAAATTGACCCTAAATTGATTCTCTCGCCTGAATGTTTTCACCATCCCCCTAAGTGCAGATGGGTCCCTCCCTAGCCACCTCTGTAGAACTCGTCTAGCTATGCCACTGCTTTCAGGCTCTAAATGCAATTTCAGCTGGATGCATTCAGGTCTAGAAAAAAAATAGATTTCAGTAAATTAAAAATGCTGCAAGCAAATGAGAATGCATTATGTGTCATGATTTTATCTAGAGCTCAGACCCACATGCAGATAAACCAATCCAGAGAGACAAGGGGAAAAGTTTAACAGGTTTATTGAGAAGTTTTGTGGAGTTTCCAGTGTTGCTCTGAACACTGCTCAACCAGAACTGAAAGGTAAGGGGAAGACACTGCGGTTAGTTCAGGTTCAGTGGGAGAATTGATTCTCGAACTTGAAGACGAGAAAGGTTGGCAGACTTACATTTCCCGGGATTTGGTTGACACTTAGACTCCGGTAGGTGAGAAATGTGTTCCGGTGTTTGTCTCATACGGTGGAGGGCGGACAGGGTTACCCAGAATACGGTTGCTTGTAGATGAACGGAGAAGACTGACTGCCACTCAGATTTCCTACAGTACTTGAACGGACTGTTGTGCAAACGAATCCCTTGCTCAATGTGAAGCTCAAACGTTTCCTCGGGGAAAAGTGGATCCAAACCTCCGGTTTGTATCCCCAGCTCAGTTTGAAGCTAAGTTGATCCTTCCAGAGAGAGAAGGTCCGAAAAATTCAGTTTGCAGGATGACTTACTGCCGAGAGGCAAAAACAAAATAACAACGTTAAGACTCAGGTTGACAAAAACTCAGTTTGACTCAGAAAAACTCAGCTTGGCTAGAGTACCCCAAACTGGCAAACACTCTGGCGTCGAGGTAGTCGCAGTCAGCAGCTTAAGAGCACTCCGTTAACGAGGTAACCCCTTGCAGGTGTGTGAGGAGGAGAATCAGAACCAGGCGCCGCCTGGTGGAGGAAGGAAGACAAACACCTGAGCTTTCCTACAGCAGCTCCATGTGAAACATGGAAAGGTGCTCTGAAGTGGGATTCGGAGAACAACAACAAGGACATTTTTAACACCACATTAGAGTCACTGCGCCTGGATGTCGCATAGATTTTACAAGCCCTAAAGAAATATTTGCACTCAGGGTGCTTCATTTTGAAATATTCCAAGATTTTTGCGCTAAAATGGAACAGAGGAGCGATATTTTTCTCAGTTTGCCAAAATGCAAATTCCAGACCTATTTTTAAACTGAATAAGGATGCGAGATATTGTAATTTTTGGCCAAATTGCTAACATTTAACAAATTAACTGGTTTATAGCCATTACCAATATTTACTACTCATATAAGCAATATAGTTTTCCCCCCTCGCTTCTATGCAGACACATACATCATTTGGATACACGTGATCCGATGGTGCTGCAATCCTCACTTATGTGTCCCAAAAACGACACCTTTTATATTGGTGAATTATATCCATGGCTGATATCCAGTCCGAAGCCAATATGTGCCGATAAAATGCGCACCCTTAATCTCCAGTTTTTTTAAAAGAGCATTTTAATCAAATTAATTATTACATATTTTAAGCAATCAAATGTTTTTTTCACATTTTGTTTTGGTTCATTGCATTTGTCTAATTTTTTAAATGGGCTTTATCTATTTTAAGCATTTCTTGATAGCTTTTGTTTCCAATAATTTAAAAGTTTCTGTACAGATCAATAGCCTTGTCAGAATTGTGTTCACTTTAACATATATGGTCCAGTTGCTCATTGCCTTGATCTCCTAACAGAATTGCTGTCTGTGATGTTTACAAAGTAGTAGCAGAAAAATTGCGATCCAAATATCTGTAGGTAATATCTAAAAACATCAAATAAGTTCAAAACTCTCCTGTAAATGTAATATTGTATTTGTATTTCACTATATTGTGTTTTCTAATCATATTTTCTCTCCTGTAGGAGTGGACTTCAAAATGAAGACGCTAGTAATAGATGGTATCAAAGTTCGAATACAGATATGGTAAGATGTTGGAAGGAGGCATGAAGTCAGATGGTTTGGTGCCTGATAGATGGAGTGAATGCTGGGATTTGACTGACAGGATATGACTTTGTTTTCAAACATGTTTGCAATATTCTGCAGTGTTTGTTGCTCATATTGAGGCTGAAAGCAGTCAGTTAGCTCCGGGGTTTTATTGCTCTGAGAAGTTAGGATATTTGGAGGTCTCTTTTATGAATTATGAATCGATATTTTTATATTTAAATGAGTCAAATCTAATGAATTATGTATCAAGATCTGTTTGCAAGTGGTGAAATCATAAAAAACTTTTATTTTGCTGTCTAGGTTTAAAAGATTGGATTTTATGTCTGCAGATATTTAATGAAATAATAGAGTTTTATGAGGGTATCATGTTTAAAAAAAATCCCTTAAAGGGAAAATTAATATAAAAAGAAAATAAAAAAAAAGATAGACAAATTTGGATTTAGAAAAAAAAGGATTTATTCTATTAAAGAAACAGACACAATTGCAGGAGAATGGTAAAAATGATGGAATAAACTAGCAAAAGACTTAATTTAGGATATTTAAAATAAAAACTCTTGGAAATCATCTAATGATAAAAAGATTTTTTTTGTTTTATTTTACTTTTAATTTTTTTTTAATTTCTTATTGAAAATGCAAATACCAAATGCTTTTATTCCTTCGCCTTGTTATTTAATGTCTAATCACAGACATACTTTAGTTTTGTTTTGCTTTTCCTAGAAACATTGTGGGAAGGAAATGCTAACTTTTCCATATTTTTCACATTGAAAAAAAATAAATAAATAAATAAAGCAACAGGAAAAAAATAACTACATATGAAAAGGGATTTAATGCACCCTGAACCAGTTTAATTCTCAGAACATCAACCTGATGTTAGAGCTCCTGGCATTTGGTTCAGAAAGTTTTATCACAGAGGGGACATCTGGGAATCTTTGCAGGACAGGAAGCAGCTGGCTTTCTCCATCCATTTCCATTTCTAAGTGCTCCTCAGCTGCTTCTTATGAAAAACAGACTATTTGTTGCAATGAATTAGTGCTCATCATATTCATTTAAAGTATTGAACTTCCATGCTTTCTGACCCTAAACAACCCCCCCACCAACTATTTTTTTACTTGCCTGTGTTAATTCTCAGTCATCCAGGTCATGGTGTGGATAATTTTGAACCTATGAGAGTTCACGACCCATGTACAAAGGCCTTAGTCCTCGATGCGGCAGACCCAAGTTCGAATCCGACCTGTGGTCCTTTGCCGCATGCCTCTCCCCCTCTCTCATACCCCCTTACCTGTCAGAAAAACAAGCCACTAGTGCCGTAAAACTAAAAAAAAGAATCTTGTAAAAAAGAAAAGGAGGATTCTCCTAAAGCCTGATTAGACCCAGACATGATTTGAGTACTTCTATAATATTAAGGGAAAATAATCCCCCAAAGAGGATATGGAATTTAAAAAATCAGTTGTTCGGGATGTGTAAGCTGATGCAATTGAGCTGTTGCATCCATTACTAGTCTCATTATGCCTTACTATTTTCCAATCGTTTTAAATGCACACTAAAAGTCACATAAATGCATGGAGGTGCAGCGGTTAGCACTGCTGGTTAGACTCTCTGCATGAACCTTTTCTTTAATGAAGCTCTACTTTAACTTCCTCTCATCGTCCAAAAACAGATCTGATCATGGATGGATGGATGGATGGATGGATGGATGGATGGATGGATGGATGGATGGATGGATGGATGGATGGATGGATGGATGGATGGATGGATGTCATTGTTAAAGGAGTGGAATATATTGAAATGAGTAACTCATTTCTTATATTAAAGAAACAGGCATGATATTATATAGTTGATCTTTTGGGAAAAACAAACATGTTACAATCCTAAAATGCTGAATGCTCTGTCTGTTTGTTTCTGTGCAGGGACACAGCAGGCCAGGAAAGGTACCAGACTATTACCAAGCAGTACTACAGACGAGCACAGGTACGTTTACTTATTGCATTCTGAAATATCCCATTTCTAACACACAGCTTTAAATAATGTCCTCTTAATATTCTCGGTTTGTCTTTTAAAATAAGAGTTATCTACACAGGGACACACACATCTATACAGGCAGAACCATAAAACCATTTGCAGCTGTTAGCCTTGGGCTGTTACAAGGTTAGAAGGGACCAAACTAAATTGTCCTTTTACCAGAAACTGGTAATGAGATTTAAGTAAAATCGTCTTGTTCCTGTTTAATGATAAAGCAGTTCAATGGATTATTCACAAACCAGATGGCTTTTGACTTCTCCAAAAGCGTCCATTGTCCTGGGGGGGACAAAAAGCTAAACTAATCACTTTACTTTAGCTTTACTTAAACACATTAGGTAATCACACATACAGTCTTTCAAATTGTACTGGTTAAATTAATTTGGGTTCAAGAAAAAGCAAATAAACACAGAGAGATAAAGTTTACCATCTCTGTTCATTCCTCAGGGAATCTTCTTGGTGTATGATATCACGAGCGAGCGGTCTTTCCAGCACATCATGAAGTGGGCCAGTGATGTGGACGAGGTGAGTCACGCTCTGCGCCTCTAAGAGCTTGATAAATCAGACACATTAAATAATCAGAAAGCATGCTTTCCACATTTTAGACACTTTAACTGAGTGTGCAGGGAGCCATTTCTGACAGAGAATATGCTGGGATGGAAATGGTGTTGTGAGAGATGGCATCTTTAATTTCCAGTGTCTGACCCCTTTTTTATTGTGTTTCAAAGGAAATAACATTTTTTTTCCACATTTCTTTGTTTTACAAGCTCTCCACCATACCCTACTTCCCCTATCATTTCCCTCATTTTTTATTTTTCTATTAATTGAGTCATTATGGGACTAATTTCCTCCTTAGATCTGTCTGAATATAGTCCCTGTTGATCGTGCCATGCTTCTCAACTTGTAATCATGCTCTCATTTCCTGCATGCTGTTACTCCTTTCCCCCCCTCCTGTCAGCTTCTCTTGACTTTTAAAATGACTCTTTTTATTGTTGTTTTAAATCTAATTTAATGTCCCCATGTCAAACATGTGCAGTACGCTCCAGACAAGGTCCAGAAGATTCTTGTTGGGAACAAATCAGATGATGTGGAGAAGAGACAGGTGGCCACAGAGCAAGGCGTTAAGGTGAGTCAGCTACAGTCTGTCTTGTATGAATGGTAACAGAAGATTCTTGGACTAGTGTGCTTGCTTTTACACAATTAACTTTAAATCTGACTTTCAAAGAGGCTGTTGTGCTAAAACCTACTTTATCTGTAATATAAGATGATATAATGCAGTTTTTTTTTCAACATATTTTAATAATGCAAAGCTGGAGTTAGGGGGAAATTGTCACAATTAGCAAATGCAGTTTGAAAATTTTCCACAAGAGGGAGCTATTTGCAGGGTTTTGAATCAACTCTGGCATTAGATGTGTAGAGAAGACATCCTCTTGATAGAAAAAGAAAGGAACAGCAAAGAAAAAAATATGTCATTATTGTTTGTGTCTAAGTTAAAAAAAAAATAATCATCAAAATTTAACTTATTGAAAGTCCTCCTTAACAAAGGCATGGGTTTATAGTCTTAGAATATAATTTGTGCACTCAGGTGAAGCAAAATTTACTCTGAGGGTACAATGTGTCGCATATTTCAGTTAAAGGTCATTCTCAAAAGTCCTGTCGCAGATTTCTCCTAATCACAAGCGACTTTTTTATTTATGTATGATGTGAGGCAACTATAGAAAGTAGATTTCTATGGTCCATGGACAGAAATATGAAGTAGAGCTCATGTAATTTGTTCTTCACTTTGTAGTCTTTCGTATACCTAAAAAAAAAGTGTTTCAAACATTAAAAAAGTTTGTATGTTTATGCTTTAGGATTAAGCCTTCCTGTAGATGTGCAGTCTGTTTTGATTGCCTGGACCTTCATGTTAATTCCAGTCCATCACAAATATTCCCATATTTACTTCGTTGTCGATGAGTTTTAAGGATTAAAGTCCCTTGCTCCGTTTTTTTTTTTTTTTTTTTGAAACACTAAAGATAATGTTTCTTTAAACTCAAATAAATGGCTCCACCTCCCTCCTTCCCTACTGTAATATTATGAATGCTTTTAGTAATTTCCTCATCACAAATAACAGCTATTTAAGAATTGTATGTATTTTTTTAACTTTTAAATGCAGAAATAAAAAAAACTAAAATTCTGAATATGTAAATAATGATGTTGATAGAACTTCAAAGGGAGGAAAACTTTCTTTAAACAGAGTTAAAATCCTATGGTATTGTATTAACTGATTGGTGAATTCGACTCATTCTCAATGTGAGTATTGCTGGAAACTTATCAGGTTTGTTGTCCTCCATGCACTCTAGCAGTAGGGTTTAAGTTTCCAGTTTGTCATAATTTGTGCCTTGATGTTTCATGTTTTCCTGAAGATCCTGACCAATTTCATTTGCTCTTAGGAGAACAGCTTGAACTTCGCATTGTAACAATATTGGCAAAGCTGAATAACTTCAAAAATGGTCCAAAAAAGTTCATTTAGCATTACAGATTCTCTCTATTCACTGCAGATCATTGGAAATGTTCACTGTTCTGTGTTTAAATAACCTTTCAATGGCTTTTTGTTAAACAGCGTACCATTAAACTGAAGTTATTTATGATCATTTAAAGGGGAATGCCATTTTTTTTTACATTGGGCCCTTGATTTTACGTTATTACATCATGTTCTACTCACCCATATTAGTTTTGTGTTATTTGCAGCTGTTCTGAAGATATTCTGTTACATCTTCCTATGGGCAACGAGTTAAAGGCACAAACTAAACTGTTCATAATTGATCATTTATGGTACGCCAGCATTCATGACATGTAGGCGAATCATTCGCCAGCAGAACGGAATATCTTAATGTACTGAAAGTAACGGCGTTTCCCTTTAAAGCCTTTAGCACAAGTATTAGTTTAAGTAGCTTTATGTTTAGAGAAATAGCTTTAAAATTAATTTTTCTTCTTCCTGAATTTGATGTTCTGCAATCAATTGCCATAATCAACAGGCACATTTTATTTGCCCAATTGGATTTTCACATATTAGTCAGATGATATGTTTAAACAGTTTGTCAGTTCTTCAGTAGCCTATCTCCAAAATAGTTTGTTTAATCAAGTAATCTTTAGATGATGACTTTTTACTTCTACATGAGTAAATATGATTATGTCAATAACTAATTCTAATTTTATTTGAGTGCTGTTTTGGTAACTCGACCTGGAAGAAACCTCACCACAGAGTCATGTGCTCTAATTGTTCATATTTATTTTCATCAAAATATATTGTGTACTAAATAGGAATATTAGAAAACTTAAATCAAAATGTCATCTGCCTTCCAGCTGGCCAAGGCCTATGGAATGGACTTCTTTGAGACAAGTGCCTTCACCAACCACAACATAACAGAGGTGAGATAATCTGAACGTTAAGTTGGAGTTTTTATGATCAAGATCTAGTTGTTTTATTTATCAGTGTTTTTGTCTTTTAATTTGTGTTTCAAAGACTTTTACACGACTGGCTGAGCAGGTGCTGGCAGCCAACAAAAAGGACTTGGATCTGCTTCGGATATCCCTCAATGACGAGCTGAATCTCACTGCTCTGGAGGAAGAGGAGGGACTCGGTGACGGTGCAAGTGGCGAACAGAACAAATCCTGCTGGTGTTAAGTTGAGCTTCTCCAGAAACAAAGAAAAAGAACTCTTGAAAAGATCTGCTTGGATTGGAGCTTTGAGTCCAAAATAAAAGAAATCAACACATGAGATTTGCTGACTGACCAACGGATATCTATCTTTCAAGGATATATATGGAAACATTTTGCCTTAATACACAAGGTGTATTTATAACCAAGAGTTTTCTGAGTCACTTCAATCCCCATCCACTAATTTGAAACAAAGCCTTTAATACAGGAGTAAAGCAGATTTGATAATAGTTTGTTTTTTATTGTTTTGATGTTTATTTCCAGAGGGTATTAGTTTTTACATTCATTTAAAAGTACTGTCTCTATTGGTAAGCAGGAGCAGGCTGACACCCAAATGGATCAGCTGCATCCATGGTTGTGGCTTGTTAGAATATTGTGTGAAATATGACCACAAGAGAGTGCTAGATGAGCAGGAAACATTAGAAACAATATGTTCAGATTATATATAATCAAGGGCTTATCTTCGTAAGTCCCTGCATTACATTTAATTTAGCTACACTTTCAAAAGCTACCTAAAAAATAATATATGCAGTCATTTATTAATCCCCTAGCTTTTTTCTTTTCTTGTTACAAAACCTGTAGATGTGTTTTTAGGTCAGATCAAACTTCCTGGGTTTTATGAAAGTTGCTTTGAGAACAAAATTCCAGAAACTCCTGTTTCCCTGTAGCAGAACAGAATCTATTTTTCAATGTTTTCTGTCTGTTTAAGCATGAAATATGTTGGAGCTTGAAACCCCCTTTGCATTGTACATAACAGACGTTTTGAAAACATAACTGATGTTATGCTATTCATTAACTTTACCACAATACTGCTAGAAATTCTTACAAAAAAGAAAACTTCATGGTTTTTTGTGTCTTTGTAGGTACAGATTTCTCTTTTCAGAGGGGAAAAGGTGAAAAGTGTTGCATGTGAGTCAGTTTTTTCCCCTTTTACTGCAACTTCAGTGAAGTTAATCATCGGTTCAGCATTACATAGGCAAGGCATTTGACCAGAGTTGCCTCTTCGAAGGTCATGCAGAGTATTTATCTCAAATAAAGTTTGACTGACTGCATTTTTGCAACTTAGATACTAATTGCTACTCAAAAAAACTGTTTATGTGCCATGTGTGATATGATAGTATGGTACTGAGTAGAATAGGATGTAGATACACAAGGTATTGTTTTTTTCAGGAACTTTATTTTTCATGTAAACTACAGTATATTATTGGTAATTGTGGAACTTTATCAAATGCAAAAAAAAAAAAAAAAAAAAGCCTAATGTGTTATGATTAAATATTTGAATATGTGTGGGTGTATTTAAGGGTGTCGTTCTTGGTTAAGTTAAGAGTTAAGGTTGTTTTTTATTTGAAACAGTAGCTGCAGAAGCACAGTGCTCAGTGAGTTCCTATGATTGTGGCTTTGCAGAAAAGAAAAACCACCACGTCCAGCAACAATAGAACATGTGAAAATCTGCTCGGATTTTGGATAACAGATTGAATCAAATCCAGAAAAAAAAAATGCATATGGATTTAGAAAAGATCCACTTATTTAATCCTGACTCTGATCCAGATTAAACATTGAGTTTGGGTTTATACAGAATTTTTTAGTAGGACTGGAAAAACTTTGATCCAAGAAAGGTGGATTAACTGAACACATATGAAGGGTGGATTCAGTTTTATTTTTAGGTCCAAAATGTAATCAAACCTTCACATTTGATTAAAAACACTTTAGTTGGATCATGTAGTTCAGCCTAGATTAAAACCTATGTATCTGTAAGATTTTATTTTTATTCTTCAACAATGAAGACGGGATAAGGTAGGCTATACTGCCTGTTAAGCATTTGAATATAGATCTGCCACAAAGTATACATTTGCATCATAGAATATTTCCCTATTTCAGTCAGACATAATTCCACCACAAAGCTGAATGCAGAACAGAAGCTTAACACTGACATCTACTGGTAGAAGTGTAACACAGCAGCGCTCTGGTTGCAGATAGTCTGGATTTGGTGATCTCCCGAACTTTGTGTGATATTAATTCAATCCGACAATGCTTTAAAAAATCTGCATGATGTTTTGATGGATTACATGATCCTGCAAATCCGTATTGATTTCATGAGGATTAAATCTTTATACCCAGATCTTTGAGGATCCATTGAAATGCCAGATGTATTTATTGCAGACGGTGATTCTAAAGCTGACTGTTACTGATCAGGTGTGAGAAAGCAGACTAGTTGCTTCATACCTGCAGTGTTGTTTGTTTAGGAATGTCCTGCAAAAGCCCAAGGATTTATCTAAACAAATGAGCATAAAATCTCATTTGCAGAATCTCTGTGGGATTATGTTTTATAGGGAAGTAGTTTTAAAATACTGGTAAAGGCCAAAAAAATCAACCACATTTTTCTCATAATACTTTTTAGACTTTGTATTATACCTCAGTGATCATTTTACAGGTAACTTTTTTTTTGAATACTTAGGTTGTATTATTAATCAAGCAGTTTATTTTCTTGAATGTTTTAAGCTACTTTCTCAAAGGTAAAGGGGTCTTTATCGAACTTGCTGGATGCTTTTGGGGAATCACCCATTACTTCCCAGATTATTTTCCTAAATTAACAAATGATTATCGGTTTCTTTCAGCACTTTCCCTTACTGACTTAAATTTTTTGTTCACTGCAATAAATTTACAAGCTACTTTCATAAATTTAAATGCAACTTTCCAGAACTTTCTGATGGCATCAACTTTGCAAAGCAACCCGTGGGTGATCTATTTTTTAACAGGGGCTTTAATGACAATATACCCATAATTTCATCAGTAAGAAAACATGTCTACCAAGATTAAACAGATGCTTTTATATTTAGATGGAATGTATCTCTCTGTATGTATATATATATATATATATA